AATTTTAAGCATATAATTCAATTAGTTGTTCGCAGATATTATTGACTCCTTTTTCTATTGTTTAACGTTTGAAATGTTTATATATTTTTTGGACAATTATTTAAGAAATTGTCACTTTTGGTCGCCAACTAAATGGACAAATATTGTGCACTTTTGACGGTATTTGTAGTGTTTTTAAGTGCTCTTTACTTTCTAATCGATACGACGACTATAAGTGTGTATTTGAATGTTGTCTTTGCGAAACATATCAATAATCAGAGCCGGGATTTTGATTGTCGGTCAGAAAATTGAAGGCAATATTTGCTATAAAACAATGTTTTCGTCAATTAATTTCTATCAGTGGACGACATTCACTGTCAATATAACACTTTGTTTTTGATATTTAATACAATATTTATATATAGTTTAGTCTTCTCTTCAGGCATAAGATGATAGGCATTACTATATGTGATAACGAGTGGTTCTGTCAGACAATATTAAACAACTGGTTGTCTACTGTATATAGTGTACAGTACAGTATATGTACATCATATAACCATATTGAATTGCACTTTTACTTATTTATTTGGTTTATATAATAGAATAATAAAAATAACTGTCAATATGTCTCGGGAGGGATGGGATCTTGACCTGCAATCCCTGACAGATGATAGGGAACACACTTTCATGACTTGTATATAATGTCTTAATGGCATAAAGTGGAAGAATTGCGAAATTGTCTTATGTTTGTTGTCTTATGTCTTATGTTTGTTGGAGATCTAAAAATGGTTGTAATCCTACATTTAATGTATAGTATTTATGCATTAAAATTAATACTAAAATAAAATATATGAAAACTAAAAACATCTCAATATCTAAATGTATAGATAAATATAATCTTAAGTTAAATGCATTTAAAAGTTTTGAAAGGAATTATTGTTTTGAATCTTATGATAAACAATCTATTATTTATTTATTTATTTGAATTTTTTATTTAAAATTTTTAAAGAATATTCTGTAGGAATCGATATTTGTTTTATTATTGTTATGAAATGAGTTCAACAAACAATTTATCATTAAATTTTTATGATTAATCTGTGATAAGTTTTCCTCATAAAAATTCTCTACATTTCGTTTGCCAAGAGTTTTGTGATGAAAAATAAAAGCCAATAAAACAAACAAAAAACTCAAAATATATCCCATTTTCCCAAAATATAGAATTTATTCGTTAGACTAAATTATTTAACAATTATTTGACACTTTTCTTCATCTCTAAGCCTTAATCTAATGAATATGTGATTAAATTCTTAATAATATTTGTTGAAAATAATTTTTTTCAACTCACATGTGTTTGAATTAAAACAAAATGTGATTTTAGGGAATAGACCATAAATATTCATATAGACTACTGTATATTGAATTGATTTATACTTAGGGACAAAAATTAATTTTATTTTCTCTTTTGTAGCAAAAAAAACAAATACAGAAAAACACAACAAAACAAAATAGAGATTAACTGTTAGACTGAGAGATGAAAATGAGACTGAAATGCATTTGACAGTCATATAAACTTAATATACTGTATAACGGCTGTAGACTAATGACAACTTGCGCTTAAAAAATTATATTAACTTAGATTACGTAATAATAGAAATACTGTATAAAGTATACTAGTTAACACCTAAAAGCATTATATTATAATTTATTTTATGCAATTACTATTTGTCCAGGATTTGCAAATTCTGGGCTTAGTTTATATTTATAATGTACATGTTATTAAACAGTTTTTTTTATTAATGAGAAGTTTTCATTAAAGAGACGGTAATAAAGGGTTGATTGAAATAATGAATAAATGATGAATTGAATCAATAATATACCGGATTTTCTGTGATGACTGGAGCCGGGATGAGGGACTCGTCGTTATTGAATAATGATAGCCCGGAATCGGATTGCGATAACGGGTTGGACGGGGAGGGACCGTACGACGGGAGAGCTCGGGAGTCGATCCAGCATTTCATTATAAACATAAACGAACGGATCATAAATGAGGCGAATAGCTGTTGAGTGAATATTCAATTAATTAATACTAATAATGAACAATTGGTCGGGAAATGTATAGTAGGAAACATATAACATGTAATATTATTTAAATAATAGCAAAGGTTACGGACCTGTAAGTGGAGGTTATTTCTGGGACACCGTAAGCGCCTGAAATGAGATCTGACATTTTAATGGCAAATCTTTTAATCACTCGTCACAGAAATGAATGAAACATTTGTTTTCCTTACTTAACAAAAGTCAATACGAAGAATGCGATCAATAGTGTGGCAAATGATACCGAATAACCGATTTTCGAGATTAAACGGAAGTTTTCAATGTGTGGCTAATTATCAAAAGTATTGGTTTTGAAATTGTCATCAAATGAATCAAATGAAAAAAGAACCATGGTACTAACAATGAGATTGGGGTTAAATGAATCTAGAGTTGGAGCGTGAGTCTTGGGCATACATCCGGTATAATTGGTCCAATGGTTCTCACCATTATGAAACCATATGCCATCTTCTGTACATGTCTTATATGCACTTTCTGTGAAATACAAAATATATTATTTAACACTAAATAATTAATTTCTTTAAAGAAAAGTTAGATTAATTTTCTATGTCTCAAATGTATCGTTAATAAAATAGACTCCTTTTTCATAGAGCGATGTCTTATATAATAATAATAAATTCTAAGCAAAGAATTACATTTTAAATAAATAAATATTATCATAGCGTCTTATTGTAGCTAACGATAAGTCTTAAGTTAATATAAACTCTATCAGTGAGACTATCACTCAATTTAACTTTTTTTTTATTTAATTGAATTTATGAGACGAGGAATAAATAAATTGAAAAAAGATGAAAGAAAGAGAGAGAGAGAGAGAGAGAGAGAGAG